TTGTTTAATTCGTTATTTAGAATAAGTTTTTTGGTTAGTAAGTCACTTAATTAGTTGATTTCAGTTAGGATGTGGGTATTTCACGGTATAAATATTATATTATGCACCTGGGTGGTCACAAGGTTTTTTACCAGTTTACCAGTCATCAGTCGCCAGTCAGAGAACAGGTGCAGGAGTCAGAGCAGGAGAAGGAGAATCCTGTGAAGTCTGTAACCTTTTGCCTGAACTATGAAATAAAACAACCAAAGAACTGCATTTCGTCTTTTTGATCTTTTTGGGCTGCGTAAACCAGAATCCATGGTGCATCAGGTGACTATTTGAGTTTTGAGGGGTTTTTTTATTTTTGAATTTAAGTTTTGGGGACAAATAGTCACTACACCAGGTGATCGGCAAAGATCGGCCTCATAGGTGATTGGTATCGGCAGCAAAAAACCTGATTGGAGCATCCCTACTATCAAGCACAGGATCTAAACAGAGGCTAAAGTCCCCTCCAACTACTAGAAACCCTGGTGCTTGGGAGACCTGAAGAAAAACTTCCTGCATAAATAGACTATCACCATTGTTAGGTGCATATATAGAGGTGCATATATATTCATAAACAGGTCGCATATGTGTGTCTGTGTGAACAGCCTGGCAAAAAAAGAAAAAAATCCAATTTGACAAAAAGTCTGATTTGGGTCACTTCAGGCTGCAGTGTGAATGCACCCTAAATTTTGTCACACCCTCATCATGTCTTTGGCAAAGCCAAAGCCTGCAGTTCATGTAATGGAGAAGTAAATAAATATTGATGACATTTGAGGATATTTTTTAAATGTTTGTGGAATTCTTTATGAGGCCCAGTCTCACCCAGACTCTGCCTCCAGCGGCCCCCGGGGGCATTGAGTTTGAGACCTCTGCTTTAAAGCAGTGGTCCCCAACTCCCGGTCCACGGACCGGTACCGGTCCGTGGACCGGAAATGTAAACGTTACCATAGCGACCAGAGTCAGAGAGCGTTTGGGCAGTGGTGAGAGGAGATGAGTAGAGCTTGTGAGCTTCTGATTGGCTACCTGTCACATTCAGAAGGTTGTATTCTCGTTCCCAGTCAGGGTAAACAACACAGGCTGCGATAAAAAGGCCAAGACAATCCAAATTGGGCATATTCAGGCTTTAGCAACACCAACATGCAGAAGCCTTATCTGACGGTTCATCCCCCCGGGCCGCAACAAAATTTCTAAATCTTGACCGGTCCCAGGTAATAAAAAGGTTGGGGACCAATGCTTTAAAATATGTAAACTAAGTGCTCATGTTCAGGGTTGCTAAGTATCCTCTGGTCTAATTCCATTTCTGGGTTGGAAGAACAGGAGTCTAAAAAGTAGTCTTGATCCAAAAGTGTCTCTGGGCTTCTGGTCTCTGCATCTAAATAGTGAGAACTCTACAGTTTATGAAAAAATAAGCTAAAGAGTGACTAATCTAATTCCTTTTGGGTTAAATGTGAGTACTCCTCTGTTTCTAAATAACTGATAATAACCTAAAGATGAATAGCTAATTTTTAAGTTTGTTCTAAGTCCTTTTCTGGATTAAAAGTGAGTAGAAACAGTTTCTAACAAGTAGTAGTATAAAAAGTAACTAAATAGTGACTGTTCCTGTATTTCTGGATTCTAAGTTCGATGTAATTCTAATTCTAATTCCTTTTCTGGGCTGTAGCAGTACGAGTCTCTGCATAAAAGTTATCTAGGAATTATAATGTTGATCTAAATTGTGCGTACTCCACAATTTCAGATATTACTAATAAACTAAAATAATCTAAAATAATCATTTTCTGAAACCACTAAATAAAATTTAACAGCATTGGTAATCTCAGTAAACAAATATTACATTTCTATATCTGTGGTATGTGCTAAAATGACAGCATTTAAGGTTAAGGGGCTCCTCAAGCCCGGGGAGGGGGCGAGGGGGTCCGGAGCCTTAAGCAGTTGCTTAGTTCATTTATGGCTTGGGCCAGTTGTAAATGTGATCAGCATTACATAGTGTTTTTAGATGCACTAACTCCTGACTTAATTTGGATTTAAAAGAAGTGAAAATAATTGATATTTATTTTAATTATAGATTTT